ATACTTCAGTATCAATTGATTCAGAAATAAGTAAGTGATCTCTTTCTGCTACGGCAATTTGGGCTTTTTCTAGTTTTTCATTTTGTTTTGGAGAATCAAAAAATTTAACAAGCTTTTTTATTTTTTTACATGTGGGCGGATATTTCGTAAGACAAAATTGACTATCAATTGCAAAGTATGTGCCGCGCATATAATTCGCTCAACAGAATTCCATTTTTGAATTGCCTTTACCATATTAGCCCCGTTATCAGTAACGGCATATGCAATTTTATTTTGAAGGTTAAATTGAATATATTTTTTGATAATAAATTGGTAAATGGAATCACCTGTATGGGGATGTGGCATTTTCTCGCAGCAAATTGTTACGCTATGCAGTTTCCAATTAGGGGCTATCCAGTGACAAGTGATTCCTATATAACCTTCCTTATTTCATGATGTCATAAATCAGCTGTTATTGCAGCAGTTTTACAGGAAGATACAATTTCATCTTGAAGAACACTGATGTTTTTTTGATAACTGAATGCTATTTCATTTTTTATTAAATGATTAGAGGGAGGACGAAATTTTGGGTCAATTACTTCCATCATTTGACAGAATCCTTTTTTTCGTGGTGCATTTAATGGCTGACTATCGAGAACGATCCATTCCATGACTGCTTTGCTATTTTCTGATTGTTTGGCATTTTTATGTGGAGCATTAACCTTGATTATTTCAGGTAATTTAGTTTGGCATGCTTGTTGAATTTCGGCTTTCAATTTACTATTATCTACAATGTTGTGAACTAAACACAGATGAGCAATCATGTTAGACGTTGACCCATCGTGAGTATACTCCATTCCACACTTCTGCTCTTTTCTTTTTACTTTCACGACAACTTGACACACATCATCTGTATCAATTAACTTAAAGTGTTTCCATACGAAACTTCTTTTACGTTTAGATCGATTTTTTTTTTTAGGTGCAGGTTTAAAGGTAGCATTAGGAGGATCATTTCCATCATCATGACTTCGTTTTCTGAAACAACTTAAACTAAATTCTTCTTGGGAATCCTCTTGAGAATCCTCTTGAGAATTATCTTGAGAAGAATCGTGAAAATCCATTTTCTGATCAATAAAACAAAAAAAAAAAACGTATTTATTTAATGGCAAAAAACAATTCGGCAAACTTTATCAAAGAATACACAATAAAAGGCTTTATTAGATAGTGTTTTAAGGTAAGGTAGGGCTTATTTGAGTTATTTTAAACCCAAGAAAGAGATGATTTTATTAATTTGATTTTTCTGTTCTTTTATAATTTTA